ATCAAAAGCTGGACACATAATTTTTGGTCAAAATTCATGTCAAAATGGAACCCTGAAATATCCTACATAGACATAGGTCAAAACTTCCCACCCCCATAACTCCGCCAAAACTCATCCGATTTTCACGAGGTTTGGGTTTTTGTTCATGGTTTGGCCCTTAGAAAAATATGGCATCAAAAGCTGGACACATAATTTTTGGTCAAAATTCATGTCAAAATGGAACCCTGAAATATCTTATATAGACATGGGTCAAAACTTCCCACCCCCATAACTCCGCCAAAACTCATCCGATTTTCACGAGGTTTGGGTTTTTGTTCATGGTTTGGACCTTAGAAAAATATGGCATCAAAAGCTAGACACATAATTTTTGGTCAAAATTCATGTCAAAATGGAACCCTAAAAATAGTATCCTACATAGACATGGGTCCAAACTTCCCACCCAAATAACTCCGCCAAAACTCATCCGATTTTCATGAGGTTTGGGTTTTTGTTCATGGTTTGGCCCCTAGAAAAATGTGGCATCAAAAGCTGGACACATAATTTTTGGTCAAAATTCATGTCAAAATGGAACCCTGAAATATCCTACATAGACATAGGTCAAAACTTCCCACCCCCATAACTCCGCCAAAACTCATCCGATTTTCACGAGGTTTGGGTTTTTGTTCATGGTTTGGCCCTTAGAAAAATATGGCATCAAAAGCTGGACACATAATTTTTGGTCAAAATTCATGTCAAAATGGAACCCTGAAATATCTTATATAGACATGGGTCAAAACTTCCCACCCCCATAACTCCGCCAAAACTCATCCGATTTTCACGAGGTTTGGGTTTTTGTTCATGGTTTGGCCCCTAGAAAAATGTGGCATCAAAAGCTGGACACAAAATTTTTGGTCAAAATTCATGTCAAAATGGAACCCTGAAATATCTTATATAGACATGGGTCAAAACTTCCCACCCCCATAACTCCGCCAAAACTCATCCGATTTTCACGAGGTTTGGGTTTTTGTTCATGGTTTGGCCCCTAGAAAAATGTGGCATCAAAAGCTGGACACAAAATTTTTGGTCAAAATTCATGTCAAAATGGAACCCTGAAATATCCTACATAGACATAGGTCAAAACTTCCCACCCCCATAACTCCGCCAAAACTCATCCGATTTTCACGAGTTTTGGGTTTTTGTTAATGGTTTGGCCCTTAGAAAAATGTGGCATCAAAAGCTGGACACACAATTTTTGGTCAAAATTCATGTCAAAATGGAACCCTAAAAATAGTATCCTACATAGACATAGGTCAAAACTTCCCACTCCCATAACTCCGCCAAAACTCATCCGATTTTCACGAGGTTTGGGTTTTTGTTCATGGTTTGGCCCCTAGAAAAATATGGCATCAAAAGCTGGACACATAATTTTTGGTCAAAATTCATGTCAAAATGGAACCCTGAAATATCCTACATAGACATAGGTCAAAACTTCCCACCCCCATAACTCCGCCAAAACTCATCCGATTTTCACGAGGTTTGGGTTTTTGTTCATGGTTTGGCCCTTAGAAAAATGTGGCATCAAAAGCGGCACACAATTTTTGGTCAAAATTCATGTCAAAATGGAACCCTAAAAATAGTATCCATAGGTCAAAACTTCCCACTCCCATAACTCCGCCAAAACTCATCCGATTTTCACGAGGTTTGGGTTTTTGTTCATGGTTTGGCCCCTAGAAAAATGTGGCATCAAAAGCTGGACACATAATTTTTGGTCAAAATTCATGTCAAAATGGAACCCTGAAATATCCTACATAGACATAGGTCAAAACTTCCCACCCCCATAACTCCGCCAAAACTCATCCGATTTTCACGAGGTTTGGGTTTTTGTTCATGGTTTGGCCCTTAGAAAAATGTGGCATCAAAAGCTGGACACACAATTTTTGGTCAAAATTCATGTCAAAATGGAACCCTAAAAATAGTATCCTACGTAGACATAGGTCAAAACTTCCCACTCCCATAACTCCGCCAAAACTCATCCGATTTTCACGAGGTTTGGGTTTTTGTTCATGGTTTGGCCCCTAGAAAAATATGGCATCAAAAGCTGGACACATAATTTTTGGTCAAAATTCATGTCAAAATGGATCCCTGAAATATCTTATATAGACATAGGTCGAAATTTCCCACACCCATAACTCGGTCAAAACCCAACAGATTTTCACAAGTTTTAGATCTTTCGTCATGGTTTGGACTCTAGATCAACTTGGCATCCAAATCTGGCAACATTATTTTTGATCGAAATTCATGTACATATATTCTATATAGTCACAGGTCAACATTTCCCATGGTATACCATACAGTATAGTATAAGCAGGGTGTTTTAATATGCGCAAATGTCAATTTCGATCAAGATATCTTGTTCTAAGCAAGAACTTAATTTATGATCGATCGAAGCCTATGACAACTATTTGATTTAGTGGTTTTTTCAGCAACAGAAAAAGGGATCAAAGTTTAGAGCAACGTTTTTGCACAGAAACAGACAAAAAGTCTTGGCTAAATACATTTCTCTATTGCTGCTGATCAAGAATATATATACCTGATGCTGTTTGAGTTGTTTTCCGCCAAGCGTTACATATTACTCTATATAGTGACAATAACCTCTGGAAGAGTTCAAAAGCAAAGAAAAACTGTATTCATTGACCGGATTAAGTTCTGTTTAACTAAGCGCAATTAAATGCCAGACATTCCATACATTAAATTGTCTTCGAGAAGCTTTCCTTATTCAAATTTCAGTGAACTGCGCGTAAATATTTATATTAAGTCTGAGTGTGTAAGGTATATAGTTGTATCTGTTGTGTATATAATATCAAGACTTTTGTTTACTTCAATAAACTTGCAAAAAAAGAAAAAAAACATTCAAGGTATGCCTCGGGGCGTCCCTCTTCGAGCTGTATCCCTTCCCCCTCTGTAAACAAGTGGAAAAGCAAATGCTTTTAGGTGACAAATTTAATGCTTGCGCCGCGCAACTCATTTCCATGTATATATTATATAAGTATTTTCTTTTGCCTGCATATTAAATAACAAATGAGCTGCTTAAATTTCCATGCACTTGCACTTCCGAGATAACAAATTCAAATTGAAATTCTAGATGTTTGCCCAATGGGGGAAACGATAAAGGAAGCAACGGGAAACTGTCGCCACATCAAGCTTCGCCGAGAGGGTCAAGTTGTCAATGCCTTTTTGTTATTGTGGTTACACAGTTTGTCTAAGGGGGTGGGAGAGGGAAGGGGCGCAGAGCTGGGGCTAATGATGAGTCGGGCTTGGGTTTTGGGTGCGTCGCATTGACGTCAAGTCGTTCCCAAAGTGTTTTCCGATTGCATAGAACTCATTTAATTGGCGGCCCATTCGAAGGTAATGCGAGTGGACTGTAAGTGGACTCCAAGTGGACTCCATGTGGACTTTAAGTGGACTTCAAGTGCATCGTAGTCGATTCCAGGGAAAATGCGTTGAGGTAGAGCAGGAATAAATGTGCAAAAAACTAATTCACATTAACTTCCAGTTATATAGAAGGCTTTCAAGCCTGATTGTCCAGATCTTGAAATGAATATTTCCGAACAAAAACCGCGAACCGAGAAATAATATGTCATATTTCACGTGCGTTTTTCTCAGTTTGTGCATTTAAATTGTCATTTCATGTATTTTTGATTATGACTTTTTATTATAAGTATTATCAAAAATTAATTAAGTTTTTAAACGTCGCATGCAGCGTTTAATCGAGTGTTCGCATCTTTAATTCAGTTTATTGTACTTATTTAAAGAAACAAGATTATAAAATGTTTATACTATATGCGACATTGACAATTTGTTGTTTAGTTTATTTCTTGTTTCCATGTACTTTAAATTGAACCGATTTTGCATTGATTAAACTTGGGATTTAGTTGAAATGTCGCGGATTTATTAAGATCTTATGTTATTTTGTCCTTAACAGAAAAATTCTGCTTAAAACTCTACTGTCTTCTTACTTTAAGTGCATTAAATCTTCATTTAAGAGTAATTTAGCCTTATTTAAAGTTAATACTGAGAGCATAACTTCGAACTTCAGTCAAAAACTTGAACAAGAACTATAAAACTTACATTAAGTATTCAAATGATTGATTTATGATTTAATTTAACTTGAATTAAGATCTTCACTGTCTTAAAGTGAGAACAATCTCGCAGTTGATCGCGCTGAAAAGAGTTGGGCATTCAGGAACCTCTCTGACCGAAGAAACATTTAATAAATTATTATAATGAACTACATATCATATATGTCTTTATGAGAACTTAATACTGCAGCCGTTATAGATCGTTATTAATTCCTGTTAATATTAAAAAAAACTTGCTAAGACTTTAGCTAACATTGTCTTAAGTGCTCACAATTTGAGGGTTGACTCATAAAATGATTACTTTTTTTTGTTGTTTAAAAAGTCTTCGTTTTATGTATTTCCTGCTGTTGACTCAAAGCTTTGTGACTTTAAATAAATAAAGTGTTTATAACTTTTATCAGAGAAAAAAAAAATTGATATGCACTAAAGAATTGCAGTTTATTTATAAAGTACATAAAATGAATACTTGAGCATTTTGTAGTTGGTTTTAACAATTTGTATTTGTTTCACTTTTTCTGTTTGCAGTTTAATTGTACAACAAAAACAAGTGCAACAATTGGCACAATTGGCAATAAATCAGCAGCAACAGCAACAGCCGAGACGCCGCTTGAACTTTAGGCAGACGAGAAGTAGAAAGAGACGAGAGAAGAAAAGAGAAGACAAACGAAAACGAAACGAAACAGGGCGCAGACAGCAGGAGACAGTGCATCATTAGCCCCCGTCTTGGTATCAATTTCGCTTGAGCTATTTTGGTAGCTGAAAGATACTTTCGCAGCGCGAAAGATACTCTGCGTATCTGTGAGATACAATTTGCAGCGGGCTAGTCGGTGCCCACGCCAGACGGGCATGCAGCATGCGGCAAAACAACAAGAAGTAAAATAGCAACAACAACTGCAGGACCCACTTGACAGTCACTTTAGCACGCACTTGATAGTCCCTTTAGCGCTCACTTGGCATTCGAACAGCGGCCGGGAGCAGCGTCGATGAGTTGAGCAGCCGCGCCAGCAACGCGCCCGCCCTTCCCCTCTTGTGCAAGCCCATACAAAGCGCTCTCGAGCAAACAATGGACGCAGCGCATCCAGCAGAGCAACCACCAGCAGCAGCAGCAGGAGCAGCAGCAGTAAACGGAGCAGCAGTTGCCAGGTCATTGGACCAACAGGTGGAGGCGACAATTGGCTCACCCAATCACTCGCACTACTCGAATCTCACAAACAGCAGCAGCAGCAGCAGCCACAACAGCAACATTAGTAGCCCCTCCGTGGCCACGGACAGCAGCAGCTCATCCTCATCCTCCTCGGCGCCGCAATACAGCGAGGATTTGCGCACAGCCGCCGCCGTCGCCGCAGCTGCCGCCGCCGTCGCTTGTCCAAGTCAACGTGGTTCGCATTCCGGCAGCGGGTCAACCAAAACCTGTGAACTGGACGTGGGCGAGGAGGAGCGTGATACCTTCTCGCCAGTGTCCAGTCCGGAGTGCAACGGCGCCGCCTCAGCTGTCCTGGTGGCAGCTGTTGCCGGCGGAAGCAGCGGCAGGGACAACAAAAGCTACGACAGCAAACTGAAACCGCCGTCGAAGGAGGAAAAGCAGCGCCAAAACGAGGAAATCGTGTGCATGGAAACCTCCACGGTGTCCACAGAGACGGGCTCCTGGGAGTCCGTCTATCCGACAGCAACAACAGCGACGGCGACGCAGCCAACGGCACCGCCGCCGCCGCTCCAAGCGGAAGAGGGCATCAGCGCCAGCTGCCTGTTGCGTGAGTTTGAGAAGCGGGAACAGCCGCTGAGCAGCTCGCAGAATAGCGCCTGTTTCATAGATGCCTCCTCGCTGCGCGATGAGGAGGATGTGCTCTGGTGTCCCAGCCTGGATGGGCAGGATGGCGCCCAGGCTAAGCCCGAGGCGGAGCTGGAACTGGAGCAGTTCCACAAGGCATTTGCCAAGTGCAAGGCGCAGCCGCGCACCAGCCAATCCAACTGCAGCTCCGACGTAGAGCCCGAGGATGATGAGCCGCACCCGGACTCCAATAGCGCCACCAACAATCTGTCCGACGAGGAGAAATTGTGGAAGCGGGAACAACAGCTGCCGGCCAGCAGCGGCGCCACAGATGCTACCGAGGCTAGCAGCGTCTCCCTGGCCGCCGATGCGGACTCCTCCGATTCCTCGCTGAGCGCACGTCGGCGTCGCGCTGCTCCAGTTGCGGTGCCCTATAGCTTCCAGCATAATGCACAACAGTTTAGCGTGCATCCGCTGGGCAGCAGTCCCAAGTTTACGCCACATCATCATGGGCACGATCTCAGCTATACGACGGACTACTCGTCGAGCAGCCCGGCGCACAGTCTGGTCTGGTCCGAGCAGGGCAACAGGCAGCAGTCGCAGCTGCCACAGCAGCAGCAGCATCACCATCTCTCGCAAAAGCAGCTGCCGCCCCCAACGGACACGCCGCACAATTCGATGGTGCACGTGCTGGAGCCTGTCTCGAGCAGCAATAATAGCTCCATACACAGAGATTACACGCTGAGCTCCTCGCTGTCGCATCATCGCGACTCGGGCGCCTATTGCAGCGATGCCACGGACTCGCCGCTGCCACTGCCGCGCACGCCCAAGCGCTCCAAGTTCGACGAGGCGAATCCCATTGTCTCTGGCGGCGCGTCCATTGAGGATTTCAGGCAGAAGCAATGCGATAGTCCCAGCTTAAAGCGCCGCACGGATGCCTGTCCCATTGTCTCGGGCGGCTTTGTCTCGCTGGACTTTGCAGCCACGCGGCCACAAGACGATGATGATGATGATGATGATGATGTGGAGCATGGACAGCAGGCGGATGAAGATGCCGATGTGGAAGGCGTGGAACTGCGCGTCAAGACGGGCCAGCCGTTGCGCAAGCCTCTACCCGGCATCGCCTCCTGGGTGGTGGACATGAGCGATTGCAGGCCAGAGCGGCGCAAGAGCAGCAGCTCCACATCCAGCCTGGAGGCAGCAGGGCAGCCGGCACGTTTCCGTGAACGCTCCGATTCGAATAGCTCGCACAAGAGCGGCTGCGGGTTCTATGTGTCACTGGACGACATGGACAGGAAGCCCAAGGTGCAGCAGGAGCAGCGACAGCTGCAGACGCCCTTAAGCAAATCCTATACAGCACCCAAGGCGGCCAATTTCTTTGTGAATCTCTCGCAGAGCGAATGTCAGGCTAAAGAGCAGGAGCAGAAGCAGGAGAAGCAGGCGACCGCCGATCAGCAGGCGGACAAGAAGAACATATTCAGCATGTTCATAGACTTTGGCGAGTCGCCCAAGCAACAGCGAGCCACGAATGGACGCAAGGAACCATTCAACTTGGCACAGCGTCTGTCCAGCTCGTTGAGCGTGGCGCAGCGTCGCGGCGAGGAGCTGATGAAGTCCAGCGCCAGCTCCACGGAAACTCTAATGGCCAAGAGCGGCACTCAGCAGCAGTTGCCCAAGGAGGAGAGCAAATCCTTGGATTATCGCTGCAATTTGGAGCAACAACAGCCGCTGACAGTCGCTGCGCTGCGTCGCATGTCGCGCCAGCAGGAGCCCGGCAAGCGTCACAGCTGGGGCAGCAACAACAGCAAAGAGCAGGCGCCCGCCACGGGGGATTACAAGCGCTCCATCAGCTTGAACGCAAATGGCGGAGATCAGTCGGGCGCCGGGCTGATGAGCATCATCGACAAGCTGCCCATTATATCGAAGGCCAGCTCGCTTTCGGTGGACAGTTCCCTGTCGCCCTATGATGAGTATAGCGGCGGCGCCTTGAGCAGCTGCTCCGATGAGGAGCAGCAGGCGGCGCGCTTGAAGAAGCGACGTCGCGATGCCCAGCTGAATGAGACGTACGACAAGAGCAGCAGCATGGCCTCGGGGCTGACGGAGGGTGTGCTCTCCAAGGACATGTCGCCGGCATCCAATACGGACACGGATGATCTCACCTTCCAGCAGGACGAGCAGCTGGCCCTGCGCGAGGTGCAGCTACAGCAGCAGGTGGCCCCGCCGCTGCAGCTAAGCAGCAGCTCGAATCGCACATCCATCATGGAGACCATCATCGAGGCCAAGGAGACAGCATCGCCCAAGAAGCAGCCACCAACTCAACTAAGCAATGGCCATACCATGGAAACCCTGCACGCGACCATTGAGAAGCAAAAACAGCTGCTGGAGACGGTCAACGAGCATTCGGATCAGCCGGCCAGTTTTGTGAAGCTCTCCGACATGGACAAGCCGCCCGTCGTCAACAAGCACGAGCTGCAATCGCCGGATGCGATGAGCAAGAGTGTCGGCAACCAGCGCAGCGCCAGCCAACGTTTCTATAGGGATGAACAGCAACGTGCCACAGCGCGGCCGCATTCCTGGGCCATGACCCGTTCCACCGGCGGCGGCAATAATAGCAATAATATCCAGCAATTTGCCAGCTCGGTGGACAATTTGCGCAGCTTGTCGCGTCTGTTTCCCAACTTCAGCAAGGAGTTCTCCAATTCGCTGCCCGGCGACATGCCCCTGGATAATGCCCAGCCGCAGTTGGATTATATCCAGGCGGATTTGAGTGGCGATTCCAGTTTGGCTTCCAGTTTCAGTCGTTCCGGCATGGACGAGTCTTCCATGAGCTGTCGCCAGCCGCGGCGTTTGGGCGAGGATCTGCTCAAGATGTTTCTGCAGGAGATCGCCACCGATATGCTGGTGGAGGTGCACGGGCGTCGCATACGCGCCCACAAGTGCATCCTGCGCAGTCGCTGTCAGTACTTTGCCGCCATGTTGGCGGGTCATGGCGCCCAGAGCGTCGTCTCGCTGCAGGGCTACTCCTATGCAGCCGTGCACTTTGCCCTCTGTCACATCTATTCGGGCGCCTCGCATCCGCCGGATGGCATCAGCCTCATGGAGCTGGCCGCACTGGCCGATCTCCTGGGCCTGGAGGGGCTCAAGGAGGTGACATCGCATGCTTTGAAAACCAACTACTGCCACAACTTCCATAAGCCCTGCTCCGGCTGCATCGATGGCATCCTGCAGGTGCTGCCCGTTGCCCTGAATCATGCGCTCGACGATCTCTATCGCAAGTGCTTGCGCTGGACCTGTCGCCACTATCTGAGGGTGTGGCCCACGCGACAATTTGCCCAGCTGCCGTCGGACATACTCGGACGCTGCCGTCAACAGATTGTTGCCTATTTGGTAAGTCCCAACAATAATCAGTACATATATATACATTTTGTAAGGCAGATTGTATATAGATATATATATATTATCTTGATGAATCTCACATCATAGCTCGATAAAGGCATGTCCGTTTGTCTGTCTCTATAAACATGCTCAAATCACAGACTTGACGAGTTAGAGACAAGCTTGAAATTTATTGATAGCTTCCCATTTTGCCTCAAACTTAATAAACATTGACTTTAGGTCCTCTTTGTATACCCTTCCGTTTAAAGCATCTATATTCTTGATCAGCATCAACAGTTGAATCAATATAGTCCAGTTCGTCCGCCCGCCCGTCATTTTCCCGAGTTCCTTTTGCAGCAGTGCATAAATAAGAGTTGACCAGAACGGATAGGGATCCGTCATATATCTACCTTGGGAACAATTCGTCAAAGCTGTGTTATAGAAAACTCTTCCTTTTCCGGCCAAGTCTATAAATATATCCCAGTTGCTATATGTGCACGGATATTGAGCATGTTGAAGCTAATGACCTCTTCTTCCACACACACACACATTCTGCGCTTAGACCTCCGAGACGGTGCTGGACACGGTGCTCGATTGTGATCATCTGCTGGCGCAGCTGTCGGCCTATCGCTGGGGTCATGTCTGTGAGCAGCTGGTGCGCGACATACTGGACGCCGCCTACGGCTATGTGGGTGATCATTTTGCTAGCCTGATAGCCAGCGATTCGTTCCTTTCGCTCGGACACGATCGCAGTCGCCACATTCCACGACTCGAGACGCTGCTGCTGCAGACGGCGGCTGCACTGACGCCGGAGCAGGCGTGCCGCAGCTACCAGCGCGTGACGCGGCTGAATACAGTGCTGCAGGCGAAGCTCATCCAGATGCCGGTCAATCTGGGTGAGCTGGCCAAGGAGCTGCAGGGCCTGCAGGAGGAGCAGCTGGACTGGCAGCCCGAGTACATACGCTTGGTCAGCGCCTTGGTGTATGCCGTGGAACAGTGCCTGATTAGGCAATGCTCGCGTGCGATGCGTGTGACGGCCTGGCAGCGCATGGATCTGGAGCTGCGCAAGAAAATCCAGACCATGGCCCGGCTCACCGAGCCGCTCGATCTCAAGCGCAACAATGGCAAGCCGGTGAGCAAGGCCTTCTCATTTGGCGGCAGCACACGCAGTCAGGATCTGGTGCAGATCAAGCTGGCCATACAGGCGCAAACGAAGCGCGCCCAGGCGCAGGAGACGCAGCTGTACAAGGCCACGCAGACCAACTACGATGCGGTCCATGTCCAGACCACGGAGCGCGGTGTGCAGGCCCAAGGCAATCACGATCTGCGCGAGGGCAACAGTGAGTACCAAATCATATACATACTATATATACCCAAGCGATGCCAACTTTTACTCCTTCTGTGCCCACAGGTAAATTGCTCAAGTCCAACTCGCGAGCCTATGTGCCGCAGGCGACGCAGCGTGCCAGCTCCCAAACGGCAGGCGAACGGCACAGCCTCAACACGCATCGACGCACACAGTCCGAGGCGCCGCCCGTGGCACAGAGGAAGCCCGAGCAGGCCGCAGCCTCCAACAGTGCCAGCGGCAGCCACGCAGTGGCCAAATCTGCGGCGCCTGTGCGCATGGGTGAGGTGCGTGCACGCTACCTGGAGCCGAGAAAGCCGCGCGCAGTTAGTGCAGGGAACAGCACGAAGGGTCCCATACGCAGCGCAACCAGCTCCAATATACCGGCAGCACGCAAGGCGCAGGCCAAGAATCTGCACATCTCATCCAGCGACAGTTCGCGCAATTCCAGTCCGGCGGCAATACGACGTGCGGCCAATGGCACGCGGCTGGGCAACAAGTCGAGCAACTTGTCCACGGACAGTTTGGCCAAGAGCGGCTCACGTGAACGCTACTCGTCCGATCTGAATGTGGATTCGCTGGCGGAGAGCATGAAGAGCTCGGTCATAACCAATAAAACGATCTCACACGAATCGCTGTCGAGCAGCTCTAAGCTGGCGCGCGTGCAGCAGCTCAACGGACATGGCGGAGGCGCAGCAGCCAAGCAGTCGGCTCCACTGAGGGGCATACAGCGTGGCACAGCGTTGGCCAACAAGTCGACGCGCCAGCTCAAGCAGCAGCACAATGCGGCCGCAACGGGCGCCTCGAATGGCTCTAGTCCCAGTTCAGTGCACACCACCAAATCGGCCACCAGTCGCCTATCCTCGGTCAGCAGCACCTTGTCCACGCGGGAGCTGTTCAAGCAGCGTTCCATATCGGTGCCGGCTGGCGGTGAAGCGCCAGCCAAGGGCCGGCACAGCTTCCTATCCGCCAAGTCGCGAGAGATACTCGCCAAGCGCGCCGAGAAGAACAAGCTACAGCAACAACAGCAACAACAACAACAACAACAACAACAACAACAACAACAACAACAACAGCAGCAACAACAGCTCAGCTCTGGTGAGACGCAACTGCGTGCCTCGGCCGGACCGTTGCGCTCCTCGTCACATTCCGCCGTCAGCAGCATGCTGCAGCAGCACAATTTGCGCAACAGTCTGCCCTCCAATATACCCACACGACGTCCCAATACGCTGCAGCTGCGCAAGACCACGACAACTGCGACCAACGGCTATGCGGCACCGGCAGCACCTGTCCACAGGCCGAACACAAACGGCGTCCTGAATGGCGGCTATAAGGCCGCCCAGGCGGTTAAACAGAAATTGGATTTGCTCATCGATGCACAGCTGGAGAGCGGCAACAATGGGCAGCGCGTCGAGTCCAAGCTGGAGCGTTCCAGCACCTTTTGCAAGGACAGCGCCGACTTGGACTTAAATGTCCCCGAACTGCAGATTGTGGAGTAAATATACGAACGGTGAGAGGGTCGACGAAACTCCTTTGAATGCTTTTAACTGAAAATGGCACAATTTTGATATATATACACACAATTGCTGTGTAATTAATGTAAAATCATGTTCTGTGCTCATCTTCATTGCAACATTAATGGCAAATTCTATGAAATAGGGCAACGCCGCGTACATAAGTTGACAGTTCAGGTGCAAGAGTGGCCAGACTGTTTAATGAACGTGATTGCAGTTTTTGCAATGCACATGCACAGCTAACATGTTCAACATGAGAAAACGATATATAAAAGCTCATGTTAACTTTGCCATGATGTTACAAGTGGGAGCGCCCTTAATCCCATTATTATTTTATTAACTGCAAGCAGCATTATTTTCAAGTATTCTCTGCATTCACAGGTCCATATCAAATATGAGCCGAGCGAAACAACCCGTACACGTCCCATAAGGCAACTCTAGTCAATAATAGCATGTAGTTGCAGGCACAGGAAACCATTAACAATAAATCAATAATCAATAGAGAGAAGCGGAGAAATAATAAAGAAAAAACAAACATGTTACTACAAAGCAAAAAGATGCACCCACTAAAATTATACCAGTTATATACACAATTACAACATAAACTTATTGTCGTTAATGAAAACCCTCCCCCCTCCTACCCCCACAAAAGAAAAAATATTCAACATATTTAAATACTTATAGTAAAGAATTGTATGCCAGGTAAAGTCAAAGCAATGTCAAAAAGATAAATGAAAATTTGGTGATATTATTTAATGTGCGCTTGCTTTTTATTTGGTTCTTCCTCTTATGCTGCAATCTGTGTGCTTCGAGTACTCGTATAAACTATATAAAAAGAATACTATACAAATATATATATTTATGTGCTTTGCCAGCTGCATTTAAGTAGTCTCTGCGCTGCGGCTTATAAACCTATTGTTAACAATTGATACCCTCTCTCTAACCCTCCTACTCGTAAATACTTTAAGCCATGCAATTTTTTATACTGTTCTTTATTTAAAATTTTAAACGTAATCGGGCGCGCAACCAAGAACAATTTTTTTTAATTTATTCATTTTAAATCTATATATATATCTATATATATATATATAGAAAAAAAGGAAACAAAGATGTATTTTGTAAGCGAATCGACATTGATATATTGATAATGGAGTGCAAGTTTAATAAATGTGTGTATTTATTAAAAGTTATATATAAATATATATATGTAAAATTGTGTTCTCATTTTATTTATAAATGCATAAATACTAAGCATGTGTATAAAAACAATGCGCAGACACGAATTTAAATGTGCGCGCCATTTTGTCTGTGCCATATTCCAGTGTTCCAAATGTTGTTTGTATTTTTTTGACAGCTGGCAACGCTGCGCTTGCGTGCCAAACAGCTGTTCGGCGATTGTGTTTTATTAGCTACGTTTTATTGTTGTTTTTTTTTTCTTTTTTTTTTTTTAGTTAATACCTACAAGTGCGACAACTAAGTACAGTTACTACGTGGGCGAGTTTTGCAGCGAACGCGCCCACTCCGTAAACACATTGCGACAATGTATGACAACGCACTCATTACTGCAATATTCGTCCTCCCAATCGGGATTTATTATCGCCGGCTTATTGCATTGTTCGCGCGTACATTTTTGCACGGCAGCCGCTTCCGTTAGCAGCTGTATTTGATCCGAGGGCGGCGGCAGCGGCGCTTGCGCCACAGCTGGCTCAGCAGCGACGGCGGCCACTGCGGCTGCTGCTAGCGGCTCCTCTTTGCTGGGCAGGGCTTCGGCCGGCGACGGCTGCTCTGCGGGCGGCTGTTGTTGTTGCTGAGCTTCAGCTGCGTCGGCTTGCTGCTGGCTGCGCTGATAATCGCGCAGTTGTCGCACATATTCGCGCTTGTCCAGCTCGTGCCGCTGATCGTAGACGTTCTTCTGCTTTTCGTCCATGGACTCCCACATGTTGAGCGCTATGGCCGTGATCTGCTCCAGCGTGCAGGCGGGATTCTGTTGCTTGATGGCCGTCATCGTGTCGCGAAAGAAGAGAGCGTACGGCGCGAGCGGCTTGGCGGGCGCCTGTTGTGGCAGCTGCTGCTGCGGCTGTTGATTTGTTGTCATCTGGTTGCTGGTGTAGCTGCTGGGCGTATCGTAGTCCATGTGCTCCTCCTCGTCGTCGTCATTAACCAGCGTGGAGTGATCCAGGCTGCTTAGCCTACTTATTCGCCGTGACTGCAATGAAAAAACACCAATTGTAAGAGACACATTCAAGTTTTTATTAACAAACTAATATCTGGGCATTTAGTATATATATGTATATGTATGTATGTATATAGTTCGGGCGGCTCACTAGCAACTTCTTCATCTGGGCGGCGGCTGTTGAATTATAAATCAAATGACAAGCAAACTAAATGTATTTAATCGCCTCGCGTCCCCAGCTACTACTCTATATTAGACAAAACGTATGTACGTATGTTTGTACATGTGCTTTGTGCATAACACGTACGGCTCTGTGGAGGCGCATATGGTTGTTGGGCGCGCAGAGAGACGCGGCAGACGCGTTGCGTCCACACAACCTGCTGGTTGAGTGTGTGCGTGCGTGCGTCTGTCCGTGTGTGTGTATGTGTTTGTTTGTGTGCGTGTTGTTTGTTGATAAGCGTTTGCGATGCCTTTTGCTGTTAATTGTTGTTGCTTTGTATCGATAACCCTCATGCGCTTACTGATGCCATCATCTAGGGCTGGCGGGCACACACTCACACACACACACACACACACGCGCGACACGCACACGTACACACACTAATACAAATCGAAGAGAAGCGCAGCTCCACTTGAACGCTTCCAATTGGGCGCTTTTTCAACTATTATAAAACGATTATCAAACTGATATCCAGTTGCGAGCCCCTTCATTAATGCATTTACTCAGCTGGAAAACCATTCGATTCAGTTGAATCCAGTAAATATCGTTTAAAATATCAGTTTGTTGCGGCAGCCCGACATCGTTTGGCTCCTGCTGCCGGCTCCTGCTCTGGCTATTGAAGTATGCGACAATCTTGAATGATTTTATTCAGAAGTAGATAAGTTAACAATAAATTATTAAACACAAGCCTTAGACTTTCTACAACCGTTTACAAAAAAAAAAAGAAGCAAAAATAACGCAATCGCAGCAATTGTTATATTTACAAAAGGACGCGCACTTTGTTTGGACCCTACGTCTCGCTCATCTGGACTAGGGGCAGCTCCTAGATCCTGGTCGAGCTCTTGAACTTACAGCAGTTTGTTGTTGTGTCTGATCCACGGGGGTTTCATTCATCTCGAACACTTCGTCACCGAATGAGGGTGTGTGAAATTGATTCATAGCTGCGTCAATTGTTTCAGTTGGTGTTTATATTTATACCAATAATAATAAACAAATCAGTTTTGTACCCAGCGTGGACTTTTGTGTCGTCCAGTTGCAGTGTTTTCTAAGTGTTGGGCAATTGCATCTGACAGTTTTTGCCAGCACTTATTTTGTGAAAGTATGACCAACACGTCGTTAGATACTTAATACCATATACACAGCAACAGTTGCCGCACAATCGTTATTCAATACTGTTGCGTGCGTTTTGCAGCACTCAAACGTTTGGCCGTTAAAATAGTAGGCCTTATATTGGGCAACACAGTTGTATGCGTGTTAGTTTTTTTTTTTTTTTGGAAATTAAATTTTAAGGAAAAATAATAACAAGGAGATATGTCTGCTTTTACAAAATTCAAAATTGTTTCACTGTTCTCATTTTCAGGGCCACGAGTTCAACGTTTCAGTAAAGGTTGTCAAAATGATGGGGGTTCAAAGAAAGATGCCGACAAAAATGGGTCCAGACTTAAAAAAGAACTAAAATTCGATGCTTTTAAATTGTCCAAGGATAAGCTCAATCCAAATTGTTTCGTTAGCGATGCCAATGCAAATTATATGGAATATCTCTTCTCGAAATGGATTAGGAACCCCGATTCTGTACATAAGGTAAAATCAAAAATCATAATACCGTTTCATAAATTATGTATACAGTATATGCGTTTCTATGACAGTCCTGGCAGCTATATTTTAATGACGTTTTGCAAAGTAATAGTGTGGGTAAAGTAGAAAGCTTTTCGAGCACAGCAACTCAAGTAACTGCTGAGCAATCTCCGAATCAAGATACTCTTTCCAAGAACTGTGTCTTGTTTGATGCAGCGCTAGAAAAATTGGGTGAAGTCGATTTTTATGATCTATGCGCCAAACTGGAGACAGCCAAGGCAGCGAAAACTGTTAGGGATAATCCTGTTAAACATAATCCGGAAGACGTTCAAATAACTAATCAGAAAACAGTCTTTGAAAATGTAAGCGATTCCGTTGAGAAAACAGCTCCGAAAGAGAAATCAGAAAACTTAACCAATTCCGTTGGAGTAACTAACCAGAACGAAGGATCAGAAAGTTCAATCGATTCTGTTGAAATAATCGATCAGAAAGATAAATCCAATAGTTCAAACGATTTGGCTGAAATGACTTCGAAGCCGCCATCACAAGAGAAAAGTTACGTGATTGGAACCATAATCCTAAGTCCAATTAACGAAGATTTAACTGGTTCCAAAGATGTAAAAGAGGAAGCTAAGAAACCGAATAACTTAGACAGCATAAAGGTCGTATCCAAACCCAAGCAACAGCAAACCAACAAAAGTACCTCCAATAAAGACAATGTTGAACCGAAGAAACCCGTCGAACTGGCCGAGCATCTGCGAGCTGTGGAACGTGTTAAGGAGGCTTTGAAGGAGAAACCCTTTTGCACGCGCCGAGATTTCATCAAATCGCAGCTGGAGCGCATTGAAAAGCTGAAGGATCAGAAGTCCTTGGCTCGAAAGAAACACGAAGAAAATATCAAAATTGTAGCGAAGACTCCAAAGCCAGAGGAGAAGCCACGCAAATAGAGTTAGAGTTAGAGTCCGAATCTCGGCATGCCTTGTTTCCATATGAACACATAAAACTTCAAAGATGTACAAATTGGTACAAAGCTCTGACAAATAAAAATTTATTTACATTTTAAACCAAAAATAATTCAAATCGCTTAGCATGTTGTAATTCGGAGAAAGTAAAACAAATAAGGAAACAAAAAATACGGATTAGTTGCCGGCCAAATTAATATTTTCTTCAAATTTAACGTGAAGTTTAAACAACTGTTTTAATTCTGCGGGTGCAGCCATGAATCCCAACCAGGGCCGCATCGGGCAAGCAATTTTAGCCCAGGGCCTGAGGCATGAATACTCGCGCTATAATGCAGCCCGGCGATCGCTGGTAATTGCCTCAAAGCTCTATTCGAAAAAGACTCGAACCCCCGATGAATCAGATAGTTTGGCCAACGGCAGCAATGCCATATACATTGACAAATTGTATTCAAAGTGGTCCAAGGATCCCGGCTCTGTGGATCAGGTAAACGAACAAGTTCCGTCACGAATTCTTTGTATGATTATAATTGAAGAATTTCTTGACAGTCCTGGGATGCCTACTTCAGTGGCAAGCCTCGGAGCATATTGTCCTCCCGGCAGCGTCAGCCCAAGAAACGTAAATGGCAACCAACCTCAGTAGCAGAACGTCCCGCATCTTCTGCTCCAAATCCTGCTCCGCAGGCCGATTGGAAATACATAGACGATCATTTGGTCGTACAGGCCATTATCAGAGCCTATCAGACGCGCGGTCATCTGGCTGCTGACCTGGATCCTTTGGGCATTGTGGGACCAACTGGTCATTCTCTCGCCACGGATGACAAGAAGCTGCAAGCCACGCGGGCTGTGCTGCGACAGCATTACTCCTATATCTTCAGTAAGATTTAACTTAAAGATTTCGAGATTTCCAGATCATAACCTGATCCTCCCCTCTCCACACACAGATGATTTGAATGCCCTGTTCAAGCTGCCCAAGTCCACGTTGATTGGTGGCGACGAGGAGTTCCTGCCGCTTAGGTAAGTCCCACAGATTTCTGGCACTATCTTATCTATAGCTATATCTATAATCTTCCCAGAGAAATACTGGATCGCTTGGAACGCGTTTATTGTGGTCATATTGGTGTGGAGTACATGATGATAACGTCGATCTACAAGAGCAACTGGATACGCGAGCAATTTGAGAAGCCCGGCGTGATAAACTTCAAGCCCGAAGAGAAAAAACTGATCCTTGAGCGTCTAACGCGCTCCACAGGCTTTGAGAACTTTCTGGCGAAAAAGTTCAGCTCTGAGAAGCGCTTCGGACTGGAGGGTTGCGATATTATGATACCCGTCATGAAGGAGATCATCGATCAGTCGAACAAGTGTGGCGTCGAGTCCGTCCTCATTGGCATGGCGCATCGTGGACGCCTGAATGTGTTGGCCAATGTCTGTCGCAAGCCCATGAAGGAGATTCTGTCACAATTTCATGGCCTGAGAGCCAGTGACTGGGGCTCTGGTGATGTCAAATACCATTTGGGTTTGTTTACGGAGCGCCTGAATCGGCAGTCCAATAAAAATGTGCGCATCACCGTTGTGGCCAATCCGTCGCATCTGGAGTACGTTAACCCGGTGGTACTGGGCAAGGCACGCGCCGAGATGTTTCTGCGCGGTGATTATCAGGGCAATAAGGTCCTGCCCATGCTGATACACGGAGATGCATCTTTCTGCGGCCAGGGCGTTGTCTACGAGTCCATACACATGTCCGATCTGCCGGCCTACACCACGCACGGAACAATTCATGTGGTGTCCAACAATCAGGTGGGCTTCACCACAGATCCGCGCTTCTCCCGCTCGTCACGCTACTGCACGGATGTTGCCCGCGTTGTCAACGCGCCCATATTCCATGTGAATGCCGACGATCCGGAGGCGTGCGTCCATTGCGCCCGTGTGGCTGCACTTTGGCGGGCGAAATTCCACAAGGATGTGGTCATCGATATTGTCGGCTATCGCCGCAATGGCCACAATGAGGCCGACGAGCCGATGTTCACCCAGCCGCTAATGTACCAGCGCATACGTAAGCTCAAGAACTGCACGGTGCAGTATGCGGAGAAGCTCACCCGGGATGGCGTTATCAAAATGGAGGAATACACGGAAATGGTCAAGAAATATGATACTATCTGTAATGAGGCCTTTGAAGAGTCCAAGAAGATCAAAACATTTAAGGTCAGTCCAACTAACCAAGCTGGAAACAATATAAATTTTAACTGCCATTGTCTATGCCCTGCAGAATTCACACTGGCTGGATTCGCCCTGGTCCGGCTATTTCCAGGGCCGAGATCGTCTAAGGGTGTGCCCAACGGGAGTTAACCTCAAAACTCTACAGCATATTGGCGAAATATATTCCTCGCCGCCGCCAGCTGAACATAAGTTCGAAGTGCACAAGTAAGTTATATGGTATAGAAGCAGAAATTACCCGGCGACGCCCGGCTTAAATGATTTTAGACAGACACCAAGCCAATCTTATTCGTTTGCTAATTATTGAGTAAGCAAATAACTAACAATTATTGCTGAATTTGAACCGGCGACTTCTCGTTTGCTGGTCCGACGCTCAAACAATGGTTTATTATTATTACTCAGTCAGGACAAATTATTACTATGCAACATTCACATGGACTATTTTCTTTCTTCAGAGGCATCTTGCGTATTTTGGGCCTGCGCAAGAACATGGTCAAGGAGAAGATAGCTGATTGGTCGCTGGGTGAGGCGTTTGCCATTGGCACGCTGGTTAAGGATGGCATACATGTGCGCGTATCCGGGCAGGATGTGGAGCGCGGCACGTTCTCGCATCGTCATCATGTGCTGCACCATCAGACCAAGGACAAAGTGCGCTACAATTCGCTGCAGCATCTGTATCCGGATCAGGCGCCCTACGATGTCTGCAACAGCTCGTTGTCGGAGTGCGCCATCTTGGGCTTCGAGACGGGCTATTCAATGGCCAATCCCAACACTCTGGTCATCTGGGAGGCGCAGTTCGGAGACTTCGCCAACACCGCTCAGCCCATCATAGACACCTTCCTTGCCAGTGGCGAGACCAAATGGGTGCGTCAATCCGGCCTGTGTGTGTTCCTGCCCCACAGCATGGAGGGCATGGGCCCCGAACATTCCTCCGGCCGCATGGAACGCTTTCTACAGCTCAGCGACGATGATCCCGACTGTTTTCCGGACATGTGCGATGCGGACCTTGTGGCCCGCCAGCTGATGAACACCAATTGGATTGTGACCAATGTGACGACGCCAGCGAATCTCTTCCATGTATTGCGGCGTCAGGTGGCCCTGGGTTTCCGCAAGCCGTTAATCAATTTCTCGCCCAAATCTGTGCTACGTCATCCGAAGGCGCGCAGTCCTTTCCGGGACTTTAACGAGTGCAGCTCGTTCCAGCGTATCATACCCGATACGGGTAAGGCCGGCGAAAATCCGGATTGCGTCAAACAGTTGGTTTTCTGCTCTGGCAAGGTATACTACGATCTGCTCAAGGAGCGTGAAGATCACGAGCAGGAATCAACTTGCGCCCTTGTGCGAGTGGAGCAGGTAACTTGACTTTGGAACTTAATCAATAAAATGATGTAATATTCATTTGAATTGGTTTACAGGTCTGCCCGTTTCCCTATGATCTGATCCTGGAGCAGATAAATAAGTATAAAGGTGCAGAGCTCGTCTGGTTCCAGGAGGAGCACAAGAACCAAGGTGCCTGGAGCTATATCCAGCCACGCTTCGACACAACCATTCTGAAGATGGAGGGCGAAAGGTAAGTGTGACTTTTCAGTGCTTTAGCAGCAGCTCGTATTTCACTTGTATAACAGGGTTGTCACCTGCCATTTTCCAACGTTTTGGCAATCTTTAGTCTTTGGTTTATCCGAACGTTTCGCTAAATGCCAAGGCGCAATGCCAGGCCTTGGTCTACTGCCACGTCGCCAAATGATTCAGGTGCGACGCGCCTTCAAATTGTTCGATTGATGCCCGATTCTCTGCGTTGTCGGTGACGAGTTTTGCCAGCGCCAAAACGCTTGCCATGATTCAAAATGGCGTCGGGCCACATGACGCCATATCGTGCAGAGGCAGCAGTTGACACCAAAAGCAACTATTAGCTGATTTTTCACATTAATCGATTTTCGAATCAGAAAACCCCAAAGCGAAACGTGTGCCAAGCAACGTCCGTCGCCCCCAAAAACATCGCGACAATCCTCCGGCAAAGCCGACTAGCTATATACCCTGTAAATAGATGTGAGCAAAGCGAGTACCTCATTTGATAGTCGCTGGACTATCATACTTTATGACAAACTTTTTGTGAGTTAGAACTTTGAGACTACATTTCGTATAATCTCTGATATTCAGCTTAATTTGCAAGTTTTGAAGCAAACTTTTTGTGAGTTAGTTTAATGGAAACTTGGATATTACAATTTGTGTAAGTTATTCATATAGTCTCTGCGATTGAACAGAAATAACTTATAATGTAAAGAAATCAATAGAAATTTCCTATTTCATATAACGTGGATGATTCTTTTGGATTTTAGCTTAACCTAATTGGCAGTTCCATGATTCAAAGAAATCTTTTCCTGCGTTAGCTTGATGAGAACTTGGATACTAAATTTCGTATAAGTTATTTACGAGAGACCATTTAAGTTTCATATAATATTACATATGTGCTATACTTTATCAAATGCGTATATACCCCACTGACACGCTCAGTATTTACAGGGTATGCAAGAAGAAGAAAAACGCTTGAAGGCTGATCTGTCTGCTCCTCCCATTAGATTTATAGAGAATGCGCGTATTTTGTAAACATTTAAAAATATTTCACGTCAGATTAATGTTTGGCCTTTCTTCTAGTGATCTCTTGGAAAGTTTTTTCTCATTTTTTTGTATTTTTCGATTTTTTGATTTGACCTTGCCAAAGTTCATGTGTTGATGCAACATTATTTCTTTGATTTCGCTGAGTAATTTGTAGAGAAATGCTGCCATTCTCTGTGATTGCGATAAATGGCAGCATGTTGGCCATTTGAAGGCTCCAATAATTATTTTCAATTTGGTTTTTGCGTTGTTAGTAATTAGCCTGGCCTCGCTCTCTCAGCTATGCACTTTGAACAAATTGCGAGACAGACATCTCGACGTGCTTGTGGTTGTGGTTGTCGCTGTGGATGTCCATGTCGCTGTCGCATGAAACTAGCGCAAGGAACTTGGCACAGTTTTTAGTCGGCGTTTGATACTAAACAAATCCCTCTCCCTCCTTCCGCCCGCACTTGTAGCGTCTCGCTCTTTCGGCCCGGTTTTTATATTGAATTTAGCATTTGTGCCGTTGCCATTTCTTATAGAATTCGACATTAAATTTAATGTGGCGACATATATGTTACATATATCGCCTATGCGCTAGTCGGCCTGCTAATGGTTCGCTAAATTTGTGCGCTGATTTATGGAAATTTTCTGTGGTCCCCAAAAAGTGCTACAAAGTTGTTTCCCTAAACATACGGAGGCCTCGAGCGGAACATTTCGCACTGCAGAAATTCACGAAGAAACAGAAAAAAAAACGAAATCTAAACATTTCGACATTTTTCGAGATTTTATTAACAATTTCAACTTTGATCAGACAAAATTTTAGGTTAAATTACGAAATTTTTGAATTAAACTAGCGAGGGATCCACTTTTTTTTCTTCAAATTTTTGAGTTTAGTTTACCAACCTTTCTGCACCTGATAAAAATTGTATTTATAGATAGTGGAAATTGATGAAAAACTTAATAATCGTTAAAGTAGAATGCATTTTATAGAGTAGATATTATAGTAGAATTTTCATGATCCTTAGTTATGAGTTTGAATCCGAAAAGCCCAACTTATCTTTGATTCCAATTTTGCGAAAACTGTGAAAAGCTCTCTCATATGATTTTTCACAAAAATCTTTGATCTCCCAACCGATTGGATGGTTAACAAATAAGTTTCCTATGAATATTCGTTTCCGCGAATATTCCACGCTTGCGGGTGAATCTGTTTTTAATAACTGAAGCGCTTACTAAATATGTTCTTTTCGAAATAATTTTGAAGGCGATCTTACCTTTTAAGCTGAGCGCTGATTATCAATTGAATAGGTTTGTCTAGAGCTGTATAAACATTTCTTCAATTAAAACATAATATCCACAACTTACCTCCCAAGCGAGAAGCATTCACAATGTTTTTATCTAGATATGATTTTCAATGTGCATGAAATTGTGCATGTCTCTGTTTATAATTCAATTATGCACTAAGCATATATATATATACATATATATATTCTTAATCGCGTCTGCTCAATGTTGCCAGCCATCAGAATTGAATGAAAAGCGCCGGGCACACAAAGACGCGCTGTTAAATCCCAGGAATGTAGCATATTTGCCAGACTATCTCATATATAAGTACCAACATATGTATGTGGCATATGGGTACTAGAATATACTATATATATAATAGATATTTTCATGTCTATTTCTTTGTTGTTTGTTGTTGTCAGCGCAAATGAAATGTGTTCTTGTACCAAAGGCAAGGCAATAATTTTGAGGGATTTCTCTACCAAGCGATGCCTTGGCAATCAATTATGAGAAAGGCCCCGCAACGTTTGGCAAAAATTGTTGTCGCTTTTGTTTTTCTAAAGTGTCTCGATTTTTGGTTAAATGCATTACGCCAAAGTTTTATTAATGACACGCATTTCTCTGCCACATCTCAGGGATGCGAACGCAGACGTTGATGGAGTGGGCGAGCGATAAATGCCCGATTTTCTGTTCATTAGTGTATATAGATAAGATATGGCAAAGCTGGCCGGAGAGCTATATAGCCTGAGGCCTATTTATAAAACCGACGACCCTGTGGGGCAAAAGGCACAAAAGCGGGGAAGGGCGAACCACGGGCACAGGTCAGAGATCTGTTGTTCGTCTCGCCTGGGTTTTTTGATTTTATTCATTCATTTCAATATATGATGTTATATATGCACACAGTCGCAAAATCTATAAATATATATTGAATAACAGGGCGGGAGAGCGGCGGGCTTAGGGTAACACGAAAAGAAAAATAAAGCACAACTTTGATATAAACAAATTCATAAAAATTTTATGAGTAATTGTGCTCAAAATTCTTGCTGTTCGTTCTTTCAATGTGATGATGTAAATAATACGAAATGCGCATAGTTGAAATATTTGGTTCTCTTTATTTAACATTTGATTTCATTGTTTGTTTTTGAATTTGTTTTTTTTTATTTTTATAAATATATATTTTGGTTTTTTGCTTAAATGGTAAACTAAACTTTTAAACGAAAGGCAACGTGAAATTTTATAACAAATTCGTTACTTTTGAGCGAAACGCTCGCTACTCGTTACTCGCCACTCGTTACTTTGCAGCGAGCAACAACAGTTGAACAAGTCGCTGAATCCTTGGAATAATTTACGTACATAAAAAATTAGAACTAACACTAGGATATAGAGCTAAACTAACAAATACATATACATATATTTACAGGTTATTAAACTAGCTAGAGACAAACACTATAAGTTAACTGAATGTCATGCCTGAGATCCTTAAAAAAATTCCATTGTTGCGTGAACAAGCAAAATTTTTCTAATTCCACTCAAAACTCTTGGGGGTTAAGGGCGACGAACACAATCCGGAGGACACACTTACACAGATTTATTGCTGCTTCAATTTGGGCGCGATTATATGGATTAGACCATGTTCCAGATGCTGTAGCTGCGCGCTCGTCGCTCCTCCTCGACGACCTGCTCGTAGTCAATGTCCAGATACTCTTTGCCCACAAACTTCACCTTGCGTCCCGTGTACTTCTTGATATAGCTTATATGGGCGGGCACCTCTTTGCCCTCGATGTCGAGCTTATACGAAATGCTGGTGATGCGCTCCAGGATGCGTCCACGCTTCCAGCGCACCTGGGTCTTGCGATATCGTTCCGCATAGAGCACCAAGTCGCCAATTTTATATTCGCGCACATGCAGGCAGGATTTCAGCGGTTTCGGTGGCTCCGTTTCCAGCGGCTCCGGCTCAGCGTCCGCCTCATCATCTGTTACGTAGGCAATGGCCTTTTCGATTGTCTCAATCTCGTCCAGCTTGGGCTCCGGCTCCGGCTCCTGCTGCATGAAGAATGTGTCGCCAATGGAGAGGCGTCGCTTTTGCCGCTTGATGATCACCTTCTTCTTGATCTGGCGCGGCTTTTTGGCTGCTGGCGCTCTGGCAGCTTCCGCTGCCTCCTTGTCTGCTTCCGTTTCCGGCTCAAGGGGCAGCTCGAGTTGCGTTTCATTTGTGATTTCTGGAACTTGCTCATTTTCCTGCTGCTGCTGCTCTGTGGCTGTTGTGGCTGTGGCTGCTGCCGCCTGCTCCTTGCTTGGCTTGCTCTGTTTCTTGGGCGGCGTTTGCTTGTTGAGTCGATTCGCCAGATCCCCGATCTTGTTCTTATCCTTGAGTATGTTGTTCAGCTTGACCGAATCGGTCGACTGGATCAGCTTCTCCTTGCCCTTGTCTATGGAACTCTTGCGCACCAGTTTCTTGAGATGCGGCGATCTCTTTTTGGCCACCACCAAATCGGCTTCATCGTGCCGCTGCTCAACCGTCTCAATCTTGACGGGCTGCACGGGACCCGCAACTACTTTCAGCTCCGGCATGGCGGCTAGACTGTTGCTGGGCTGCGCCTGTGCGTTGTCTTTTGTAGCAGCGACTATCGGAGGTTGTTGCTCTTGTTGTTGTTGCTGCTCTTGTTGTTGTTGCTGCTCTTGTTGTTGTTGTTGTGGCGATGACTCTTCGTGCGACACTTCGCTCAATGTCGCTGCTATTTGTGGCGTCGCGGCGAATGCAACATCAACGGGGGCGTCTTCAATGTCAACGCCGACAACCACCTGTTGGGGCAGGCTAATTGACGACCGATTAATGGGTTCCTTGCACTGGCTCTGGATTGCACTAGCAACTGTTGCAGCTGTTATTGTTGATGTGGCTCCTACTGCTCCTACTGCTGCTGCTGTTGCTCCTGTTGCTGCTGCTGTTGCTGCTGGCACCACCAGCACCGTTTCACCCACCAATTCGGCTAGTTTGAGGCTGTTCCGTCTGCTTTGCTCGATGCCTGTTGCTCGATTGCTGTCGCAACCATCGATTGGCAATTGTTTTGGCGCCGCTTGCGATGTTGCTGCTGCTGCTGTCGCCTCGGTTGCTGCTGTCGCCCCTGCTCCTGGCAGCGTCTCGGCGCTTTTGGCAGTTGGCTTCGTTGCGCTTTTGGCAGTGTCTGCATGGCTGTTGTTGACCTTTGCAGTTACAAGTTGTTCATTTGTTGTCGTTGTCGCCTGTTGCAGTTGTGGCCGAGCTGCTGTCGCCGAGCTCTGATTGCTGCCGGAAGTTGTTGCTGTTGCTGCTGCTGTCGCGCTGCTCATTAATCTTTGCTTCTTCTTGCGCTTGACAATCGCTTCCGAGTCGGAGGGTCGCCTTTGTATTAGTGCATCGATCTGCACGGGCTCCGGCTTAATCTTGGATGGCTCCACGACCGCAATCGATGCACGTCGTGGATTCCTCACCTTGACAATTATTTTCTTTTTAGTGGCGCTCTTGGACGTCTCTGCCGGCTGTGTGGCTGACTCAGCTGGCAGTGCTGCTGCTGTTGGGGAGCTTGCCTCCACGCCCTCCACAGGCTGCTGCTGCAGCTGCTCCTTGACTGATGCTGCAGGCGTTACCATTGCTTCCGCTTCCTTGGGCTGCATTTCGACAGCTGTTGCTGCTGTGTCTGCCTTGTGGAGCTGCTCCTCGTTTGCTGTTGCTTTCTTGGCTTGCTCTCTCATGTCTGTTGCTTCTGTGGCTGCCTCTCTAGACTTCTCCTGGGGCTGTTCATGGTTTACTGTTGCTGTTGCAGCTGCTTCCTTGTGCTGCTCCTTGGCTGATGGTGCTGCGGCGACTGCCTCCTTGACTGGCTCTTTTTCCTTTGGCTTCGACTTGAGTTCATTTTGCACCTTTGCTAGGAACTCCAATTTGGCTTGTATTTTTGCGTTTTCTGTTGCTCTTGATTTAAGTTCTGCAGTGGCAGCTGTTATATGCTGCTCCCGCTGCTGTTTCTCATTAGATGTGCTCCTTGGAGTTTCCTCTGCTGGCTTTTTCAGATTCTCCAGGACCGCACCAGTTTCTTCTTTGTCCTGTGCCTGCTCCTCAATCGCTTTGCTTGCAGTTGCATCCTTTGCTTGCATCTGCTCCCGCTCCTTGTCCTCGTCTGCTTCGTTGAAGTAGCTGCGCCTGCGAACTTTCTTTATAAAACGAAATTGCACTGGCTCCGCCTCCGCTGCCGCCGCCCCTGTCGCTGCCGTCGCTTCCGCCGCTGACGTTATCGCTGGCGGTCCGAGCCACTTCTCGCCGGCTGCCTCCGCTTCGCTCTCCGTGCTGTACTGCTTGAGCACGCCCTTGACCTCGCTGAGAGCGCCCGAAATGCGCGCCTTTAGCTTGTTGAGGCGCTCGATAACATCCTCCGGCTTCTCCTCGACCGACTCCTGCGAGCGCATGCGCCGCTGGCGTCGCAAACGCGTGCGCTCCGGCAGCAGAGAGTCCACATCGATTGAGATGTCGTCACGAGATGTGGAGCTGCGCTTTATATCACCCAGCAGCGGACGCGATGTGGCTGCTGTGGGCACAGCCCCAGACACATCACGTATACGACTCGTTAGACCCACGACGGGAGCAACTGTTGCTGGCGTTGCTGTTGTTGCTGTTGCTGTTGCTGCTGTGCTGGACAGACGACTCGATAGAGTTTCTGGCAGGCGAGCTGTGCTCTTCAGTAGCTCATACTTCATGTCGCCTCCCTGGTTGCCGTTGTTGTTGCTGTTGCTGTTGCTCTCATCCAGCTCCGCTGACGGCTGCTCGATTTGCTCGCTAAAAATGTCAGCAGCTGCGGCTGTTGTTTCACTATCGTCAACCGCTTTGGTCAGAGTCATGTCCGCACATTCACCGACCACCTGCTCAACCGACGGCTGTTGCTCGCTGCTCCAAAGGTTACCCGTGCTGCTCGTAGGCGTAACAATCAACTGCTCAATCAGCTGCGCCAATAGCTCCACCAAATCGAGATCCAAAAGCGAAGCACGATTCTTGCCCTCGTCTAGCAACACGCGCAGCGCACTCTTGAAGGATTCTATAGACGCTGATTCGTTAACGGGTGGGATGATTACGTATGGCGTCTGATGCTGACCATCCACTTGCTCTGACGACGATTCGCGCGCGTCTGACTGGCGTTGCTGTCGATTGGAGGCGTTTGGCACGGCCATTGTTTGATTCTGCTCAGTGGGCAAGCATATTGACTGCCGCTCTTTAGTCATATTTAGCTCATTATGAGCTGTTGCCGCCGTCGCCTCTAAATTGTTGCTTTGCTCGCATACTATGCGTTTATTTTTGGCCATATTCATGGCGTCGCCATCGCTATTGTTGTTATTGTTATTGTTGCTGTTGCTGTTGTTGTTGTCATGTCGCCACCCGAAGGCGTCATTAAAATTTTCCGCCTGTTGCTGCTCAATTTCCTTTTGCTCGCCAACGACAACGCCTTCGGCTTCCACGTTCAAGTTTAATGTTTGCTCGCGAGCGTTGAGTTCATTATCAAATGCCGCCTTCCGTACATCATCATCAACATCATTATGATGATGAGCATCATCATCATTATCGTTGACAGCATCAACAGTCAAAGGCAGGTCTATTTTAGTGCTCATATTGTGGCTCGCCTGCGTCATTGTTGTTGTTGCTGTTGTCGCTCGTGTTGTTGGTGTGGGCACCACATCCGCTCGCAGCGATGTTGTTGTTGTTTTTGTTGCTGCTGTTGCCCCGTTTTCATTTCCATTGGCATATTGCGGCTCCTTACAGCTAAGCTGATTATTGGTAAAGCTAACAAATTGTTTTTTAATTGTGGGAAATACGTTAAGCATCGTCGACCTTGACGTAGACACGGTTGGTCTGCTCTCCCACAACGTGCTCATCGATTGAGCTGCATAATTGAAATTCCTCTTGGTTAATTGGCATAGCAGAGGAAATCTGTGCATGTGAATCACTTGCTCGGGAAATCTATTGGGTATTATGTGTAGGGTATTATTCTCGATCTGTTTGTCAGTGGCATGTGGCTGCTGCTGCACTGGAAATTGTGGTGTGGCATGTTCAGAATCTATATGCCACAGCGGAAATTTTCCAGGCGCAGCCTTTGCAAATCTCGCTTGTTGCTGCGACTGTCGCTGCGGTTGGGCTTGCGGCTGTGGCCTGTGGCACAGCAGCGCCCTCTGTTGCGGAAATCGTTGCTCATCGATTGGCACTTCCGGCAGCGGAAATCCATTCACAATTGCTGTTGACAACATGGCTGACTCAGCCTTATGCTTTATGATGGCGTCAGGCAATATTTGCGTATTATGATGATTATTAGCGACCGATTTGTGGAACGACAACGCCCGCGCGTTTTTATTTTGATTGCTCTGTTGTTGACCTATTTTTGGTTTTGAATTTTGCGTTTATTTATTTTTCAAAATACGCACACGCGCTGCAATTTGTTGCTGCATTCAACATTAGGCTGCAATCCGAACTGGCAAAAAAACGCGGGGCATCTATCAACAAGCAGCAAATAGCTAGACAAATGTTGCCTTGTTGCATATACAGATGCGAAATCAATATAAAAACATAGATTTGCCAATTAATTTTGTGTGCATTTACATGCCGAAGTTTATTTCGTAATCAAAGTCGAACTTTGAATACACTGCGAAGAACCGTGTGTTGCTTAGCAATCATAACTTAATTCTTTGTATACAATGGGGAGAATTTCTAAGTTTTAAAGTTATTTTAGTGCTTTAAATAGCCTGTAACAAAGATAACCAGAACAATGAGTGTACCCTTGTTGGCCCTAGCAAAAGGGTTAAAAACAAAAACATTCCCAGCTCTCTTCTGGCAATTAACACAAATTGTGTCTACAACTACAACATATATGTACATATATATATAGCATGTTGTGTCAGCTTGCCAAATTGTTTTTTGCAGACCACAAAAAAGAAAGATTGGCTAAGAGAGGAAATTAAAAAAGCCCTCGTGCCAAGCAGCGCCACAATCGCATTGTTCAAATATACCTATATATATATATATATATATATATATATATATATATATATATATATGTGTGTGTGGGTATACAAATTATATAGTATGTATGTATATGGGCACACGAGTATTTGTATGTCGCAAGCTCTTGCCAAAAGTTGCCGGCTGTTTTGCGGCAAGCGAAACATAAATAACCAGAGCACAATTTGCTTTAGTTTTGATCCCTTGAAATAATTAAAACGCATTCAACCCACAGCCGTGGCATTACTTATCAGGGACGACCACCAAACTCGGCCTCATCCACCGGGAACAAGGTGCAACATTATTCGGAATATGATGCTATCATGACTGGCCTCTTTGGTGAACTGACCGAAGAGAATAAGAAGCGCATCAAGGAGATCAAGGAGCAGGAGCAAAAAGCGGCCGTCAAACAGTCCGAAGCTAGCTTGGCGAAAGCCAAACAGGCCAAAATGAAGGAGGAGGCCGAAAAGAAGGCGGGCGAAAAGAAGGCGGGCGAAAAGAAGGAGGGAGAAAAGAAGGAGGACCAAACGGCAGGTGCCAAGGGGGCACCACCAGCACCAACAGGAAAAGCTAATCCACCGAAACCGTCCGCAAAGGCAACACCCGCTGCAGCAGCAGGGCCACCAACAGAAACTTCACCCTCACCGGCACGTAAGCCCATGGCAGCAGAGCCACCGACAGAAACTTCACCATCACCGGCACGTAAATCGGCACCAGAAGCACCAACAATGGCTCCATCACCAGCACGCAAGCCTGGACAGGAAAGCGCACCAGGAATGAAACCCAAGTTAGCTCAAAAAGAAGTAATGCCGTCAGATAAATCAAATGATAAGAGAGAAGCACCCAAAAGAGCTGCTGACACAGATAATAAGCAAGATAAGCAAGATGAAAATAAATCTGCTAAGCGATTGAAAAAATCTGAAGATGAAGAGGCTCCCAATGATCCCACAAGCAGCCTGTAAAAGTCGAATGAGGTGAACTAAATTTCAGTTTTGCCGTATTTCGTTTAGAAAAATGCCAAGTATTGTATTTTAACTAAAATTAAAAGTCTTTAGTTAATGACATCAACATGTGTACTTAAAATATATTCTCAGCTTACTGATATGATATAAATACAATTAACACTGCTTCCAATAATTGGGATTCTGCTCCATGCGCCTCTGGAAGTTTGTGTACCAGTTCTGGACAACGGAAAAAGGCACAAATGTTTCTGTTGTGGCGGGCGGTATCTCCGGCACGCCTACACAAAAACTGGACGCATAATTAAAGAAGTTCTCCAACATGCGCTGGCCAAATTGTTTATTATCGTTGGCGCTGGACTGTGCGAGGGCAAATTGTGTAAATATTAGTGTTTATATTTCAAGTGTGGCATAAATTGATTACTTACAACCGCCGGAGTTTGCTGTGCCACCGTCAACTCGGGCTCAATGGAAATGCCAATTTGTGCTATATGCGAGATTTCCTGGGCGCCAAAAACCATGCCGTTTGCCTGCGTCTCCAGCTCGTGGCCCTTCTTAAGCTGGGCTATTTTAAATATCGCTGATGGCTTGTTGTTGTTTATGTGGCCCAGATATTGCCAGGTGGGTGCTGCATTCGCGTCCGGCCAGCTGAAGTAGATGGCTGCTGCGGTGCCCAGGGGCAGGGGTGAGATGCCAGTTAAAAAAATAACAACATAATTGACTGCTTCAATGTCTGGCACGTTTATCAATAGCTTGTTTTCATCTACCGCGACAAAATCGGTTTGGGGCTGTGTGGTTGGGTGTGTATTAGATTATCTTATAGTGTTTAGAATAACTCACCAGTCTACCGGAAATAATTAAACCAAACATTTTAGCCGGCTGTGTTAGTTTTTTCTAGAATAAGCCTTTGACAATCACAAGGCACGTCAACAGCCGCCAGCAGTATTTTTTGGTATTTCGATTCTCACGCGGTAAACCTGGTCACACTCATGTAATATCGCAATACATCGCTTCAAATACAATGTATCGATATTTTTAGCAGTCCCTACCAGAATATTAGAGTTTAGTATTTGTTTTCGCGTAAAGTTATGGCCGGATTATTATACTTAAGTAAATTGTGCAGTAAAAAGAAGACACTTACATACACTTTCCACATTGCATGCCACAAACAAACTTGTACTCGACTGCAAACGCGTGTGGTAAGTACAATAAATATCACAGCAAAATTCAAGGCCATCTCGTGATAGGCATAAATGGTTAGATTACGATTTCATAAGTTTGATAAATAATAATGATTAGGACAGAATGTAAGTTAATAGTTAAAACAGAACGACATCAAAGAGGTCAGGCAACAATGTGCGTGTGTGTTGTTTTGGCCCCTTTTCGCAATTAACCCAATGCACTAAGTACGTACGCACTTGCTTCTTTCGTTGCAGCAAGCCTAAAGCAAATTTCACATCCTAAAGCATTTACGGGCGCCAAAACAGCACACACGCAGAATGGGACGCACTCAGCGCCAACGACTTCGTCGCGGCCCACAAACAACAATCGATACTAGCGATTCACTGCACGTGCTTTTTGGCCAGCTGCACGCCTTGGGTTGGCGCAATCATAGTCAGCTTTCTGCACTTCATTTCCCCAAAACTGGACGCGGCTTGTGCTCCAAGCGTCTACGTTTTCAGGCTGGCGATGAGTTGATACGCCTGCCCGCCAGCTGTCTCATAAGCATAGCCACACTGGAGTCGGATGCACAGTTCAAGGCGCTCTTCAATACTGATTTGTTTGACAAGGATTCGCGCATGTCCTTTCAGGCGCTTGTCGCCTGCTATCTAATGCATCAACAGCATCTGCACGAGACCACGCAGGACTCGCCATGGTCTGCCTATCTGGACACGCTGCCAGGCAGCTATACGACGCCCTATTTCTGTGCCATGTCCGAGCTGCAGTGCTTGCCCGAGTCCGTGCTGGAGCGCACAGTGGCACAAAATCGTCAGATACGCGATTATTACCAGTTGTTGAAGAGCCTGGTGGGTGCACAGCATTGCGAGTGCTGTGGTCAGCGCTATTGCGAGGACATTTGGACTCTGGAGGAGTATCGGCGCGCCTATTTTGCTGTAAACACGCGTAGCGTCTACCTCAATGCCCGTCAACTGCAGCCGCCAGCACGGAGTCATTTCCAGGCGTTGCTCAGCGGCAGCGCCAATCTGGCACTGGCACCGTTTTTGGATCTATTTAATCACTCGGACAGCGTGCGGACAACAGCAGAGCTGCAGCTGGTGCCCGGCAGTAAGAGCCAGGATTATGTCCTTACGCTCGACGCGTTGTCCAAGCCCGAGCTGAGGCCATATGAGCAGCTGTTTATCAGCTATGGAGCGCTGCCCAATCTGAAGCTGCTCACTGAGTACGGCTTTTATTTGGAGCGCAATGCGCACGACTATTTTGAGTTTACGCTGTCGGACATTGAACAGCTCATCGCGCACAATAAGCAGCTGGCGGCGCAGAGCTATCATCGCAATATCTTTAAGTTCATCAGGGAGCATAATTTAATGGACCAAATGTTTGTGCATATTCAGGATGGCTGCTCGCACAATCTACGCGTGGTGCTGCACCTGATCTTCAAGCAGCAGGCGTACTTTCCCAATGTGCTCAATCAAATTGCCTTCGGCGATGTCGACCAATTCGACAATGTACAGCCGGAGCTATCATATTTGCTGGCACACAAAATTAAAGAGTATCGTGGCTTTGTGGCCGCGCTGGAGCAGCTGCCACAGCTCACGGAGAGCGGCACGGTCGCGCATGGTTATCTGTTGGAATGTTTGCGTTACCTGCGCGAGTTTGAGGCAGCGCATTGCGAAGCTAATAGTTAAACCTAATTGAGTTTTGTTTTATGCAATAAAGTATACATATTTTAATTTTGTAAACATATGTTAGTCATTTATTCTAAAGATCTCATTTACTTTGCAGCTTTATGCCACGCTTGCCAGATCGGACGATGATTCACAGCACAATTCCAAGTCCAACAAGAGGATAACACCGTTTACGCCCACACCAGGCAACAAATTGCTTGGCGGCGTCTTTGCCAAGAAGTTAAAAGGTAGGTCCAAGTGTAGCCTAGTACATTGTAGATAATTTGCTGTAGTATATCCACGCAGAGTGTGTTTTTAATGCTTCCATAACAGACAAATGCCACTGAAAGCGCGCCACGTCTATGTTAAATTCGATGTTATAAATAATCTGTTTAAATATGAACTGTGATCGCTTCTAAATTAGAAATTAGATTCGAGCTTATAGGTGATTGCCTTTTTATGCGCTGAACATATATAGTGTGGATAATATAGGTATAATGGACTTGTCCTAATGTTTGTAACCGGCATAAGGAGGGATCTTCGTTCCTATAAGGAATATATACATACATATTCGTCAGGAGGACTTACTGTGCCGATCTATCTATGTCTGTCTGTGTGGACACGTCGATCTTGGAAGCTACAAAAGCTAGAGAACTGGATATTTTTAATATATATTCTGTGATATTCAAAGGACTTGGAGACATTGTATATTAACCCTTGATAGAGAATATTAAGATGTAGATATGTCAAACTTATGGAGTTCACCTTTTGGATGCCTGCCATGAAATTGGACTATATATACACTATTTCGCTTAAGATGTAAACAGTTCAGAAAGATCGGACTATGAATACCGAAGTTAATCTCTTGATTATGCATTATGCATTTGCAAAAGTATTGTGGAGTTAGGAGGAGAAAAAGCAGAGCCGCAGGAGGATGTAAATGTCCAGTTTTAGTTGTTGGGAGCTCACATGTTCGAGTGATTACTGTACCGTGTATTTAAATAGCAGTACATAGACATTTTTTACATTTGTCTCGTATTTTCGACTTCTCTCAGAGCTTTTAAAATCTCTTACACACTCCCGCAAGGATATGCGCAATGTTTAATGCTATTGTTTATTTTGGTTATTGCATATTTGTGCTTTTACTTTGACTAACCAATTTTTGTTTATATTTGAGCTAATGTGTAACATGATAAGCCCAAAAAAAAATGCACTCGTTTGTTTGTTTGTCTGTTCGTTTGTTGTATTGGCGCGCCTGTTTGGATTTAGCTGCATTAAAGTCAATTCGATGCAGTTGCAGCCACAGCAGCAGCAGCAGCAGGGCTACAACAACAACAACGACTGCCACAACAACAACAACAACAATCACGTCTATGTCACGTTCATATAGGCAGCGGCGGCAACGATGGCGGCGCAACGCTGGGCAAACTGGACGCACCCGAGGTCACCTCGAAGGACATGCTGCGCGCCATGATGGCGTACATTTGGCCTAAGGATGATGCACTGGTGCGCAAGCGGTAAAGCTGAAAAACATTTAAAAAAAAAAACAAAAAAAGGCCTTTATATATACGTCAGCTAATTGTCTGCCCTGTCGCAGTGTGGGCATCTCGCTGGGTCTGCTCGCCGGCTCCAAGCTGTTGACCGTGTGTGTGCCATTTATGTTCAAAGGCGCCGTGGATACGATGACAACGCTGAACATGGACACAGCGCCGGACGCAGTGTTGTCGGCAGCCACGGCCTTGCTGCTGGGCTGTAAGTGCTCCAAATCTCAATACCATTAGATGCGATTCAAAAATTGCATCATTTGCAGATGGCATTGCCAGAGCCAGCGCCGCTGGCTTCAATGAGCTGCGCAACGCTGTGTTCGCCAAGGTGGCCCACCATTCCATACGTAAGATAGCCACCAATGTGTTCCTGCATCTGCACAATCTGGACTTGGCCTTTCATTTGAACAAGCAGACGGGCGCGCTGTCCAAGACAATCGATCGGGGCTCACGTGGCATTAACTTTGTGCTGTCCGCCATGGTGTTCAACATAGTGCCCACCATATTTGAGCTGACGCTGGTCTCCAGCTTATTGGGCATTAAATACGGTCTAGCTTTCGCCGGCGTAAGCATGGGCTGTGTGGGCGTCTATGCCCTGTACACACTGAGTGTGACGCAGTGGCGCACACGCTTTCGCGTCTACATGAACCAGGCGGAGAACGAGGCGGGCAACAAGGCTGTTGATTCGCTGATCAACTATGAGACGGTCAAATATTTTAACAACGAGAAGTACGAGGCCGGCTGCTATAATGAGGTGCTGAAGAAGTACGAGACGGCCAGCTTGAAGACCAGCTCCAGCTTGGCGCTGCTCAATTTTGGACAGAATGCGATCTTTAGCAGCGCGCTTAGCTTAATTATGGTGTTGGCCGCCAAGGAGATTGTCCAGGGCAATATGACGGTCGGTGATCTGGTCATGGTGAACGGCTTGCTATTCCAGCTGTCCATACCATTGGGCTTTCTGGGCAGCGTGTATCGCGAGGTACGGCAGGCGCTGCTGGACATGCAGGCCATGTTTACGCTCATGAATGTGGACAGCGGCATACAGTCGGCGCCCAATGCGCAGCCACTCTACGTGGACAACAGCAATGCGTCTATTGAGTTTCAGAATGTTAGTTTCGAGTATGAGCCGGGCAAGGCCATTTTTAAGGATCTGTCGTTTAGCATACCCGCCGGCAAGAATGTGGCCATTGTCGGTGGTTCCGGTTCCGGTAAATCGTCTATGGTGCGTTTACTCTTCCGCTTCTTCGAGCCGAATGCGGGTCGTATTTTGATTGGGGGCCAGGACATCAGCGGCGTTGAACTGGACAGCCTGCGCCGAAGCATTGCTGTCGTGCCTCAGGACTCCGTGCTCTTCCACAATACCATCGAACACAACATACACTACGGCAACCTGAGCAAATCGCACCTGGATGTGCAAAATGCGGCACGTATGGCCGATCTGCATGATTCGATCATGAGCTGGCCCAATCAGTACCGCACCCAGGTCGGCGAACGGGGTCTTAAGCTCTCCGGCGGCGAGAAGCAGCGTGTGGCAATTGCGCGGGCCATCCTGAAGAACACGCCCATTCTGATCTTCGACGAGGCTACCAGCAGCCTGGATTCCATCACGGAGCATGTGAGTCTCTTGGCCTGCTTGAGTCGCCGACTTAGCTGATGCCCTTTCCTTTTGTAGAACATATTGCAGGCTCTTTCACGCGCTACCTCGGGCCGCACCAGCATTTGCATAGCCCATCGTTTGTCCACAATCAAGGATGCCGATGAGATTCTGGTACTAGAGAATGGCTGTGTGGGAGAACGTGGCACTCACATGGAGTTGCTCAAACAAAATGGCCTCTATGCCCGCCTGTGGGAAACCCAGACCCAACAATTCGATCCCAGTCGTCGCGCAGAGGAGGCGTCGCAGCAAAAGACAGCGAACGTTCTGTAGTCCTTTTGTTGGCCACGTTGATCACGTTTTCTAGTTTTAATGATGCGCTTTGTTAATTGACGAGGTCACAAAATTTTAAGTGCAGAGATTTGTTATTATTTAGGTTGAAAATAATATTGTGTCCGGTTTGTAAATACAGTTATACATATAAGTATATATTTGCATTATGTAAATATATCATAATATTGTTTGGATGGATAAGAGAACAGTACTTGGGTCTAGTATACCCTGTGACTAGCTCGCAGTAGACCATATTGAACTCCAGATAGAAAGCAGTTCGACGACTTTTGTGGAAATTCGTTTGATAACTGTTCCACGTTTTCGAAAAATCCATTATGTGAAGTTTGTTCCACATTATTTGAAAATCGGACTAAAATTACCCGAGATATTCCAATTGATCACTGTTCAACATTAAATGAAGTTCTATCATGGAAACTCAAAGCTACCATGGTTCAACATTTTTCTGAGGTATAACATTTAAACATTTATTATCAGTTTTATCACCCACACATTATGTGACACTAAGGGACTTAGGCAAGGAAATACATTGCAGCATGTGGAATATAATCTCGACTGCTTCATTCTTAATCTCTCTCTCTAATGGAAATTGGTATGGGCACATCGTATAGCAGGTAGAGCAAGCAATTGGCCAAATGCTTGAGGAACTGTTGGTAATTGGCAAGGCGTTGCTTGAACTCCTTCCAGAGCGGCAACAATGATCGCTCCTTGGACTGACCCACATCATCTATGACAATGTCCTGCTCCAGCATGGTCTTGTTCACATAGGTGTACAAATAGGAGGCTGGCTTCTGGCCAATCGTAGTCACATAGTGCGTGGCATTGCTCTCCAGGCCAATGCTCTTGCCGGCTGTCAGGAAGAAGGCCTCCCCATCCTTGGCGCTCTTGTAGCGCACATTACCCTCGAGTATTGTCAGGCTGCAGTTGAACAGAGTCGGAGCGATGAAGTTGCTCAGCGTTAGACCCGGGAAATCGGCGACAAATATAACATCCGAGTAGTTGTTCCAGGCCAGCACCTCATTGGCAATCGTTTTGAGTTTCGGACGCATGTGATTCAGCTCCGTGAGTAGCGGCAGTGACCAGGGCGTGCGCTTAAAGGGCGACCAGGGCGCCTTTAGCAGATCCACACGCGGATCAAAGGTGCGCTGCTGGAATCGCCCGTTCATGGCGCACCAAATGTCAAAGTAAATGGAAATGTTGCTGCTTGTCAGCGGACTGTTCTGCGGATGCTGATCCATGTCCTCTCGGATGTTCTTCTCAATGCACTTGGCATACTGGACAGCCATGTCAGCATACTTTGTCCAGCGATCGTATTCGGTGAAGGCATAGGGATTCAGATGGTGCACCTTCTGGTTGTCATTGTCGACCACCTTGATGGAGGTCAGCACCGTATCGTAGGAGTGCACCATCATGTCCCAGGAGTAGCCATAGAGACCATTCGTCCAGTTGTTGTAGCCCTTGGTGATGAAGTGCGAGTAGGGCAGAAACAGCTGCAGCGCGCAATAGAAGATTATGATGCAGCTGCGCAACTGGTCCTTGAAGCCAGGTTCATCGCCGATTGGAGCTTTCTTCTCCTCCTTTGCTGCTGGCGTCGTCTTGACCAGGCAGCTTAAGCGTCTTGGCCAGTCGAAGCTGAAGAAAAGCGGCACCTCCGCCAGGCAGACCCAAGGGAACATACCTATACAAACGATAGAGACATTAAGGATAAAAGCAGGGAATTCCTTTCAGAGCTCACCTATAATAAAGAGTCGCGAGTTCATCAAGTGAAAACTAATCATGAACGGAGTAACCAGCAGACGCGTCTTCTCGCAGGTCATAAAGAACGCTATGGATAGATCGAAAAAGGCCGTAAACCAATGGATGATCAGCAGATCGATGAGCTCCTCGTCCAGCAGCTGGCGAAAGGGCGCAAAGACCCAATGCTGACTGAGACTGGACATGGCATAGCCTGACAGCCACTCCAGCGAAAACTTCTTCAGGCCCGCGTACATGTACAGCACAAAGAACTGGAACTTGATGAGGAAGTAATTCCAATACGGCACCGGCTGCCTCAGGTCTGGTCTCAGCCAACTGTCCAGCGAGCTGCAAGCGAAGTCACAAGATTAATTGAATTGGATACGCTCGCAGGATTACACTCACCAGTAGCTGTGCGCCTGGGTGAACAGCAACAGCGTGCCGACCAATCCAAAAAGATAGCTATGATTATTCCACGCCGGCTTGTCCAGCAGAAAGATGTACCAGTAGCCCGTCACAAATGTCAGGCAGCTGAGCCGGAAACGATAGCCCAGCATAATGCCCCAGGCGCCCAGCCACATGGCCAGATAGACGCAGCCCATCAGCGGATAGTCCAAAGCGGCCATCCCGTTGAACAGCGGAAAATGACAATGATGCGGTTCGCCGTAGCGCACGTCCAACTGCCCCCCGCCGCGCTCCTCCGCAATATCAATCAGCATGGCGGCGCCGTAGAGCATACGGAATACACCCAAAGCGGCGCCATCCACAGGTCGTTGCAGCCAGCGCGTGAAGCTCTGCAAGCTATCAAAGTTTTGCGGCTCATGGCCAAAGCAGAGCTTAAAGAACTGAGCGGTTGGACTGGGCTCCGGAGCTGCTGCCTCTTCCGGCCCGGTTGTGCACGGCTCATCATCTGCAGCTGGGGATTTGTTTTCTGCGGCGGCATCTGTTGTGCTTGTGGGTTTTGTGGGCTGTTTGCGTTTCGAGTTGGTCATAATGCCTGTGGGATGGGGCTGCTTAAAGTAGAAACTAAAGCGTGGTATAAAGAGATGTGCCTTGAATTTAAAGTTGAATGCAAATAATGCCCCTGATAGGAAAACAAAACTTAAAAGTCGTTAAAGCTCATTTCGAATGCATTGAGTGTGCCTTTGGCTTGTAATTCACAAACAGTTTAAGCTGAATTTTCTATATATGCCCAAACAGAATAGATTATAAAGATTATAATTCACAATCAGTCTTGGTTGATTTTGCTATTTACATTCGTACATAAATAATATTAAATTGTTTCAAAAGTGGTTTTGGCTTATAATTCGCAATCAGTTTAAGCTGATTTTTGCTCAGTTGAAATAATAATTTCAAAAAGTGCTTTTGGATTGTGACTCGCGATTAGTTTAATATATATCCTGCCCTGCCAATAATTCAGTCGTTTGAACAAAATTAAGCTTTGGTTGGTTTTTTTTTTTTTTTGTAGAATTTATTGAAAAAGTTGACATAAATACATGCATGCATATTGTTGTATACTAAATATATAATATATGTTTTTTTGCTTTTGCTTTTTATTTCTCTTGCGTAAATAGAAATCTACGTTTGCTGTCTTTTTTTTTATATGATGCACACCTCCAACGAACCCCTGCCCCCGTTCCATACCCAAAACCTAACGTCGAAGGTTGCGATCATTGAAATATTATTTTTTGCCATCCTATTGTGTTCCTGTGTGTTTAGCGAAACGGGTTTCGCGTACAAAAAAATACATCAATTACGAAATATATATATTTATAATATTTATTACATCTCTATATATTCTTGAGTTGAGTTTATTGCAACATTTATTTGCCCAGCTGCCGCTCTATGTAAATTCTCAAACCCCCAACTGATGTTCTTTAAAGTTGTTTTGAACAGGTTTCTATATTTTTGTTTGTTTCTTTGTTTTTCATTTGACATTTTAATATAGTTTCGAATATAGAAATACATATAAGTTTTGTTTTGAATATGTTTTACAAATTGCAATTTGCAATTGTTCATTTAAGTGGTTCGCAAAATTTCTAGAAATTTTTGGGAACAAGCTTTGAAAATGCCTCAAACTACGCAAATACGAATACAATATAGCTGAATATGCTTATTGAGAATAAGTTGTATATAAGCTAATGCTTTGGTTTAAAACTTCTTTGGTTTGGAATTGCGGGGAAGTACACTAAAATAGGTAATAAAAAAAAAAACGAAAAGGGGAAATTTGATTGTTAGAAAGTAGATAAATTAAACTTGGTTTTGGTGCCTCTCGTTTAAATAGCTTAAATATTTATATATATTTGTTTGTGGTTTAATAGTTGAGTTTCATTTTGTTTAATTTAAATATGACAGTTATGCATAAATGACTAATATTTGACTCTGCTGCACATTTAAGTATTTAACTTTGGTTTTGTTTTGTTTATTTAAAAATATTAAGTTTTGGTTTTCTTTTGCATTCTTATTAATTGTTCGATCATTTTACGCAACGCTAAAACATTTTAAATTGCATTTTCAAAGTTAATTCTTTAAGTAATCTGTGTGGCTGCAATTCTTGCCTTTAAGCTTCGAAAAGTGTTGAGACAAAGTTTCGAGTTGTCAGTGTTGAAAAATTTTGCATACAAAGTGAAGCCAACCCGGCACAAAACATTATCGAATGAAAACTGTATTGTTGTTGTTGTTGTTGTTATTATTATTATTGTGGCTGCTATTGTCGCTGACCGACCGGCACAGGCAACCCTCCTCCTTCAGCAGCCGCGCGCGCTCTCTCCATTACACTCTCACTCTCACACTCTCTCTCGGCAGCCACCCCGTCGCCCATTGGTGCGCAGGCGCGCTCTCTGCCGCTGCGGCTTGCTCTCGCTGCTGCGCCCGTTCGGTCTCTCTCGTTTTATATGCGATTCTGATTCAGCTGAGAGCGTGGTGTGAATGGGCTAACCATAACGCCACTTGGCCAAATCGCCTCGTTGAACAGCTCATTGAAACGATAGTCCGGTATGGATATCTTGAATTTGCAATAGGATAGCTGCGATAGGTTGGCATCGTTTTTGACCAGCTTGGTGCACTTGACCAGATTCTTGTTGATCTTTAGCTCCTCGGCCAGGTGCTCGATAATGTCATCCTCGCTGGTGTTTGTCGCAAATTTGCCCACCTGCACCCAGCGACCGTAGTCGCAGACGACCTGCAATCGATCCGAATTGCAATTGTTGCCAACAACGATGAGATTGTTTTGCTGCGGATGCTTTTTGCCATCCAGATTGTTGACGGGCTGATTGCCAAATTGGAAATACTGTTGGTACATCCGACCCTGGATCTGATTGACGCCGTTGCACACCTTGTTCACCTTCTCCTCGATGGTGTGCAGCTTGGCGGACAGCGCCTTCGGTGATTGATTTCTGCACTCATCACAGTTAAACGATATCATTGGGTTCTTCTGTATCAAATCGTACATCGCATCGTCTATATTGACGCACGTGCGATGGAACTTCTTCAGGCAGTCGTCCGAATTGCAGATGATGATTGCATCCTTCGAGTTGATTGATTTTTTGCATTTTGGACAATTTTCGGCCATCTTTGCACTTTTTTTTATATATATATCTACTTTTTTTTTAACGTGTTTGGTTTGAGGAGAACGTCGACAATGTCGAGAAAAACACACACACACTCAACACAAGCACACACACATATGCACTAACACGAACGCGAGCCTACACGCACACACACATACGCGCAAGCACTGTGTATGAGCGAATATTCTGTCTGCTGGTTGGCTGGCCTGTCGCTA